AAAAAAGGTTTTACTGTACGTTTGGCTTGTGTTCACATTTTGACAAGAGATGTACGAAATATTAATTAATTAATTACTGAGTAGCAAATTAGTAATGTACCTTCTTATCCGTTATCCCATCCTAAAGAGAAATAAAATATTATATTAAATTTCTGAAGTCGAAAAACGACAAGTCGACAAGGTAGGTAAGAGAAAAACATGAAAAGCTTTACTAGTTTGTATATTTGATATTTGTGAAACGGTCAATAAATACATTATTATTATTATTATTATTATTATTATTCTCCAAAGCACTAAGTTTGAGGATAATCAGAGGCAACTATTAAGCCGACACATCGAAAGTAGTCAAGAAAAGTTCCCTCCGAAACCATTCCCACTTCAGAACGACAATACAACCATGAAGGCTTTCCTCCCGCCTTTACCCATAAAACCAACCAGAAAACCGGCGCCCGCTTACTGTCCAGTTTCATTTGGATCCGAGTGGATTCTACTCTTCAGAGTGTTTGAAGTAATTCTGTTGGTTTTTTTTTTTAATATAACAAATTGAGAATATGAAAGTTCCTCTAAAAGAATGAGTAAATGAAAATTATAGTTATGTTCATGTGGACAATTTTAGCTATTTATTAACATGTTTGAGAAAAATTTGACATGACTATAATTATTTTCATTAATGTTAAAATCAATTTCATATATATTAACATTCACAAGTGATTTGAAAATTTTTGAGGGTGTGTTTGGGAGTGATGAGAGTAATTTTGAAAAAAAAAATTTAAGAATAATTGAGTTTCCCAAATTACAACCCAATTAGTGATACTTTAAACATCAATTTTAAGAGATTTTATGTTTTCCTAAAATCAATTTTTTAATTTGTCAAACATGATCAATGGAAAGCAAAATCACTCCCAAACATATCCTTAATTATCTTAAATGATTTCCAATACCAAAATAAGCATATCTCAGCGGTAATTGACATATACCTCCAACCAAGATGTTGAAACAAATGATTCTAAAAAATAAGTTTCACATAATGTTATTGGTGCTCAACGGTAATCATCAACTATAATCAAATCTCACTACTTACTTAAAAAAAAAAAAAAAAAGCCTTGGAACGTAGGATTCTTGAAGGTTTAATTTAATGGACGAAGATCCTCATGTGTGCGCAGGCCACTAGTGTCAGACCACACAGAAAATAATTTTTTTTTTTAATTCTTTTTTCATGCCATCTGGTTTGGAGTAAACCAAGTTTTTCACGGCGCCGAAATTAGGTAGCTAGTAGCACTAGCAACCGTATCGAATCTTTTTTTTTTTTTCCATCACATGTACTGCATTATTTATAATTATCTAGGTGGCTCCCCTGTGGCCAAATTCCCTATAAATAAGTGCAGTAATCGAGAGCCTTAGAATCCACAGAACACAAAAGAGAGATAAGAGAGAGAGAAAAATGAGCAACTGTTTGCAGAGTTGGCCGGAGCCGGTGGTGTGCGTGCAGTCGCTGGCGGAGAGCGGAATAAGGAAGATTCCGGGGAGGTACGTGAAGCCGCCGTCTGAGAGGCCGGCTTCGGGGGCTGAGGTGGCGGAGAACATTCCGGTGGTGGACCTGGAGAAGCTGTGTAGCTCGGAGTCGGCGGTGAGGGCGGCGGCGGCGAGGGAGATGGCGGCGGCGTGTAGAGAGTGGGGATTTTTCCACATAATAAATCACGGAATTGGGGAGGAGATGATGGAGAGCGTGAAGGGGATGTGGAGGGAGTTTTTTGATCAGCCGTTGGATTTGAAGAAGAAATACGCCAATTCGCCCACCACCTACGAAGGATACGGCAGCCGTTTGGGGATCCAAAAGGGAGCCATTTTGGATTGGAGTGATTATTTTTTCTTGAATTTTAAGCCTTCTTCCATCAGGAACCCAGCCAAGTGGCCTTCTCACCCCACTTTCTCCAAGTAGGTTTCCATTTTCTTAATTTCTTTCTTTTTCTTCTCCCCTCCCACGCTTCGACTAACCACCGCTAAAAATTTGACAGCACAAAATATCTCTTTTCAAATATTTTTCTTTTCTGTTCGTAAAAAATTGAACGATAGTTTTGTCATATCTCAAGCATATGAGTCATCTGGTTGATGTTTCAAGTTAGATAAGTTTTTTTTGAAAATCTTGTTTAATTATTTGTTATGGTTATGGGGAGTAGGTTGGCACATGTTAGTTAAGCAGTGAACAAAAGTTAATATCTATGTTACTTATTTTGGGGGCTTTAATTTGGTTGTTAAGTCGCCGATGAAACCAATCTTTGGTGGTTATGTTTGGAACAGAAGAACATATGATTAGTCATTTTCGGAGTTGTCGGAGGGAAGTAAAGTGTACAATTTGTAATTGTAAGCTTCAATTTGTCCAATTATGTCGTCAAACCAACCCCCTTTTCCCACAAGTATTAAACTCTATTTATAGAAATCACAAACCAAAAAGTATAAATTGTTTTTTCTTTAAAAAAATTCAAATTCTCAACCTTAACTGGTTAAGTCTCACCCCATCGAAGGAATATTTTTAGGGTTTATTATTATCATTATTATTATTATTCTAATACATGCTATTTTGTTATTTTGCAGGAAATTAATAGAAGAATATGGGGATGAAGTGGTGAAGCTAGGTGGGAAAGTATTGAAGGAACTGTCATTGAGCTTAGGGTTGGAAGAAGATTATCTAATGAAGGCATTTGGAGGAGAAAATGGAATAGGGGCATGCATGAGGGTGAACATGTATCCCAAGTGCCCGCAGCCGGACCTCACCCTCGGCCTCTCCCCACACTCCGATCCCGGTGGTATCACCATTCTCTTGCCCGATCACGACGTCCCTGGCCTCCAAGTTCTCCACGGACGCCATTGGGTCACTGTTCACCCTATTCCTAATGCCTTGATCGTCAACATTGGTGACCAAATTGAGGTCTCATTCTCCCTTCTCTTCTATCACTAAATTACAAGTTTAAATCTGAACTTTTATAAATATGTCTGGTAGATATTTAAATTTTCAAGTTTGCGTCTATGAACTAAGAAAAATGTCTAATACATCTAAGACTTCATCAACGGTGTTTTAGAATCGATTAAAGTCAGCCTTTTTCGTTGATGTTCGAACAACCAACTATGATATTAAATCGTTTGACTATGCAACTCAAAAGTTTGATCTTCTTCTTCATTAAAGTAGATTTAATATGTTTTCATTTGCTCGAGTCACAATTGAAATCTCACATCAATCGATAGTTGAGATTGTCGTAGATTTATAAATTCTGAGTTTTGTTTAATTGTCACCATATGTTGAATGGTATTATTTTTAAAATTTGAGGAAACTTATGTTTATGTTTTTTGGAATGATTATTAGGTGCTGAGCAATGCGATCTACAAAAGTGTGAAACATAGGGTGATGGCAAATTCAAACAAGGATCGAGTATCGTTGGCCTTCTTCTACAATCCAAAAAGCGATATGGTGATTGAACCAGCCAAGAAGCTTGTGAGTGAGGGAAAACCAGCTCGTTTCCCTCCCATGACCTTCGATGAATATAGACTTCACATTAGGAAGAGGGGTCCTTCGTGGAACTTAGAACAATCTCTTGAATCCACTTAATTAGAATTAATAATAATCTTAATGTGTAATTGTGTATGGCCTTGGCCTGGGTTTTAAATTTTATCCAAGTAATATTATCTATATATTATATTGTTAGAGCGTTTCCTCTTTCTTTGCCTTTTCAAATGTACCACCATTTGCCATTGTCAATGTTAGAATTTGTGTTCCCCTTTGTCCTGAATATCAGTACATTGTCTATCCTGTCACAAATAATAATAATAATAATAATAAAATAAAATTTATGATCACGTTCTCTCTACGTCTCCCTTTATTTGACTCCTCCAACATCAACACCACCAAAAAAACATGCAAATTTTAATTTGATAACGACTTTATTTTCTACTTTTGGAAAATTGTGATTGTTTATCCGTAAATTTCTTTTCTTTTTTTTCTCTTTTCCACATTTTGAGAGAAAAAAGGACAAAATTATTATAACATTCGTCAACTTGAAGTTACTTTTGTTAAGTTACTTTTGTTGGGATTGGTGTGGAGCCAAGTTGACGGTGGACCAAGCTAGGGTCGAGTCAGGATCGAGCCGGGATGTAGAAAGAGTGAAAAATGGAAGAGGGGCGCTACAGAAGCCGAGAGGACAGTGTTGTGGTGCTACCATTCAAAATCATAATAATAAATAAAACATGTGCGTGAAACATTTTGACATTGTTGGTCGTAGAGTTGAGATGCTACGCTCAACGTCTCAACGCTACAACGTTTTATAAAAAGGGTTTTTTAATTTGTTTTAGGTTTAACCATCAAAACAAAAGGAGAGGCAACCGTGGGTTTCAAGGGCAGCTGATTTTGAGCAGATTTGTATGGCAAATCAGAGGCAATAGCTCAAATTGACAGTACACAGGAAGGGTAAATCGAGATCGACATTTGGGTAAATTGTATCTTGATTATTTCATTTCCTTTACCTAAATATATTGGGGTTAAATACTTAGAAGCTAGACTTTGGTTGAGATCTCTAGAGAGCAAATATCTGTGAGGAGATATATTTGAGAGTGTTTGTATCCAATTTCGTATTATAGTGGAATCCATATCTGGACATAGCCCATGGGTGAACGAGTATAAATTTGTTGTGTCGTTTTATCGCTTTCCCAAGATTTCTCTTTATTAATAGGAATGAGAAATTGTGTTTGTAGCATCTAATTTCCCTGAAAACTTTAAATTAGATCCAAGATTTCACTTCTATCCTTCAAATATGTATTTGAACAAGTTTGTAATTAAAATGAGGGAAGTAAATGATGTGACTAGCTACTGAGTTGTAAATGGAGTAGGAATAGACATATATAACTTAAAAAAAAAAAACTGATTATCAATGCTTGTCACAATTGCTCTCCATTTTTTAAAATGTCAAGTTTGCTACTTCATTTATAGCTCAACTATCACGTTAGTTTTTGTCACTCCATTTTAACTATAAAATTATTCAAAAAGTGTAATTCAACAACCTTGGCATTTTGAATAATTTAGCCAAAAAAAGAGATAAAAAAGAAATTTTTTTTAATACAACATGTAGGGTGAGAATTAAATTCATAATCTTTGTTGGGAATATATGACAATTACTGCTGTATTGTACTTTTTTTGACCAAAAAAAATCTTTGAAAATTATATAAATGTTTAACTCATTATACAGCTTTTTCAAAACAACTTTGTTTTTCGGGTTCTAAATGTTGACAAGATTTTAAATTCATTTTCAAAAAGAATAATTTAAATGTAACTCATATAAATTTTATAAACAAAATAAAATCATTATATGGAATGAACCTAGATTATATTACATACACTCCATGAAAAATAAAATAAAATAGGTGCTGTGATTGAGTAATACATAGAAAAGTTGTATGCTAATTTTAGCTTTATGATATGGTTCAAATTTTCAACTTCTTTTTCGTCTGTATTGATTTGGGTAACAAAATCAATCATTTCAAAAGTTTTCAAATCTTTTCCCTTTGCGTGATCAATTAGAACTGTCACGATGAAAGGAGATTTTTCAGATGCCTTTTTATTTTTGCTAGTTTAAAGTTTGACAACTTTTTATCTCAAAAAGAAAAAAAAAATTGACCCCTTTTTCATTTTCATTCAATACCAATTAAAGTGATCTTCCTTATCACTTTATTAACCAATGTGGGCACTAAAATGTCTACCCTCTATGATGGAAACTTAACCAAATAATATTCAAACTACCCAAATTGATTTTGGTCAATGAATGCATTTAAAACATGTGCTCAATTTTTAATAGGGTGTTACATAAATAATATTAATTAGGACCAATATTTTTTTATTAAGTACTATACTATTAATTAGGACCATCTTTTTAAACCTTAAAACTTAATAGCCACTAATCTAGTTGGACGTTGAAAGTTATCGTTTTATCGTTTATGTTTCTTTGTACTTTTAGTTACAACAACAAAATTATTATGGTCAATAAGCCATCTTACTCATTCCCTGCCGAGGTTTAATTTTCCATCTCTATGTTTGTTGTACTAAAAAGGTAAAATTATTGTGTGCAATATATATCTTTAAATTTTAAGACTTCATTATTGGATAAACTCCTTGATAACTACTTTATTTTTCGCTTTTCATTTAATAAAAATAAGTTTAGAAATATTACTTTCACCGTGTTGTTATATAATTTTAATAAATATTTACAAAACCAAAATTTGAAAATACAAAGGAGTAATTTTCAAAATTTTGTTTTATTTTAAAATGGCTTAGAATTCAAATTCAAATATTCTTTCAAGAGAGATGGAAAAATTATTAATGAATCTGTACAAAAACAAACATAATTTTAAAAACAGACAATTAAAAACAAAATGGCTATCAAACCGACAACTTAATATTTTGTCCATCATTTCAATAATATTTTAATTTAACATGGTATGGTTTGTTTTTGTTGAGAACATAAATATTACTTTAATTTTAATGAGCAATAAAATAAATAAAGCAAAATTATCTCAATTAAAAGTAGGTTTAAAATTTTAAAATTATATAAATGATAAATAGGTAAATAATAATAATAATAATAATGGTCAAGTTGTTGGGAAAAATCCCCTACTTCTACGCAGGAATAAGAAGAAAATAACTGAGAAATTTAAAGAAAGCAATAAAATAAAGAAACACAAGAATTAACGTGAAAAACTCCGAGAAAAAAACCACGGCCCACAAGGGAAAATCCACTATGTGAAAAATTATTACAATCACACAGATTTCTCTCCCCGACCCCAATTACACAAAACACTCTTTCAAAGCAAATACCGCTCAGTTAACTAGAGTCAGTATATCAGACTTAAAATATTTCAATTGGGAGGATTAAAATCCAAGCCCATGAGCTGCTTTTATAGTAGTTGAAACACATTTCCTCCTCGTACTTTTCCGATGTGAGACAACTTCTAGCACATGGAGACCATCGTTGTATTCTTGGAATGTTGGACAACTTTAATTCCAATATTTTGTCAAAACCCAACACAAGCTACCATGTTTCGATACCCTAAAGATATTAGGCACAAAATAAGATAGTTTTATTTTTAAAAATTAATAAGATGTAATTTTGTTAATAAAATTAGGTTCGGCAGCAAGATTGTGGGCTCCTCGTTGGAGCTTTCCCAATAATTAATGACATATTTGACGTTGAAAGTTATTAGCAGCACGATGTTTTCATTTTGGTCTAAAAAGTTTTCACAATAAAATAATTTTATATGTATTTTGTAGTTCAACTTTATATGTAAAATCGTTGGGAATCGACCTTTTTTCCAACGCATTTTTTTAATTGAAAAAATTCATTCTTAACTTTTTAAAGATTTTTCTCGATATTTTTATAGTTTTCGTTGTTAAAAGTTAATCACTTCTATTTTGTAATTTAAAATTTTCAATAAATATGATTAACAAGACTTGCTCTCAATCACTATGTTTTATTATCACAAAGGTACATCTTTTTTTTTGGCCAATAAATAGTGCTTATAAAATGAATATTGATGAAAATTTTAAATCAATTAAACATTTTTGGTTTATTTATTATCTAGAAAATCAAAATTTTATAGATTAATATATATTATAGACTGAGTAGTAAATCTTCCGACTCCTTTTCAAATACGGAGTAAAATACACAAACTACTATTTGATAAAAATAATAATAATACTATTATATATTACCTTTAGTCCTCTTATACGTCTTTTTCTTTCTCTAAATTAAAAGTCTTTTTTATAAACAATATTGGATAACTTGTCAAAGTGACCTACCCAACTTGATATCAAATTCCTACCTATAGAAAAAAAAAACCCCTCATTTTAAACGTATCTTGTATTATCTCTAAATCCTTAATTCTCTTATACGTCTTTTTCTCCACCTGAATAAAAAGTCATTCTGCCATCCATTGCTACCTTAATTATCACAATGAATTATATATCTATCCCGACATCACATTCTTATACATTTAAAAAAATTAAACACACTCTAATATTAGATAAGTGAGGCACTATTGTACTATCTCTACATCTTTAATCTTTTAGTTCCTCGTTTTCTTCTCTCTTTAAATTAAAGTGGTTCTTCAATCAGTTCCGAACTTAATAGTCAAAGTAACTTTAATATCAAGTTGAACTAATTAAGATCTGAACTAAACTTGATTAAAATGATCGATTCATAGGAAGAGAAAAATAAGTAGGGGATATTATAATACCTTTATTATTAAATTAGTAATATTATTACATATTCTAATACTTTGATAAATTAAAATTGTCTTCCAAATTAAGTTATAAGTTAAATTTCATTTATATATTGTGCTTCCCATCTTCGTCGACTTTGAATGCCTCCCACATGGAATGCAGTCAAAACGCACGTTTTCCCTTTTTTTTTATTATTATTTTTCTTTCTTTCTTTCTTTGCAAAAAATCCATCTCTTGGATAGTAACCTAAATTGACACGGTCGATTTCACCCATCCTTTTTTTTAAGATATTCCAATATTCGTAACATAACCTTCATATTATACGACCATATAATATTTTTATATTTCAAGATTTTATATTTCCACCGACTTCGTAAAAAAGTGTAAATGATACAATAATTTATTCGTAAGGAATAAATATTAATATCTCGAAGTGAGGTGTTTAAATTTAATGAATAATGTATCGGAATTCAAACAAATCTTATATAAAGTTCTTTAATGTAAAAAAGTGTAAATGATACAATAATTTATTCGTAAGGAATAAATATTAATATCTCGAAGTGAGGTGTTTAAATTTAATGAATAATGTATCGGAATTCAAACAAATCTTATATAAAGTTCTTTAATGTAGAAATTCAAATCTTATGTTTGTACATTTTATTTATGATATTGGAAATTCAAATCTTATATTTGTACATTTTATTTATAATTAGTTAGACATGACATATAAATGGGAGGAAAAAAAACAAGATTACGTTGTATTTTCATTTGCTTTGAAATATTATTTTGATACAGGGATATAATTCTATGATGGTTCAGATCTAAAATTATTGGATTTAAAGTTTACGGTCCAAAATGAAATATAAGTAAAATTTTAGGACCAAAATAAAAATAAGGGGAGAAGAAAGCACCAAAGGATAATAATAAGTGGATTGGGGGATTCAAATTCATAAGAGCATAGTTATGGAAGAGCACTCTGAACGGATGGATCCTTGGGGAAAAGAGAGAAAAAGAAGGAAGAAAAATGGGACCAAATCACCAAATCACGTGCATGTTTGGTTATTTTGTTTCATTTTCTGTAACTTTGAAAATTCCTTATGTGACTTTTTTTATATTGTATTCAAATTGTGATAGGGACGCCAAGCGAATACCAACTCAACTTTCTTCTACAATCATTTTAAACATGCCAATTCTTAATTGTATCAAATTAATATATACCAACCTTTTAATTGTCAAAATTAGGTGTAACTGAAACTAGTTTTCATATGTGGATTCTTTGACTTTGCAATTTTGGATTATAAAGTTATTACACGTCTTTGGGTGGAAATATGGCATATATGGTACTACTACTTAGTTTCTAGAAACAAAAATCTAATGCATCTTTTGATAAAGATTTTTATCTTATTTTATTTTTTTGTTTAGCTAAAGATAGATATATGACTGAATGGAGTGGGCCCTGGGTATGGTCTTGGACCATTGTAGAAATTACGGGCCTGACGAAGTTGGGCAAAGCAGTCCGCCGAGAAGCGCAATTCGTCATTTTCGAATAATCGGGATGGATGAAGCTGGGCTTCTAACACTCATAATACCATATGGACTCGATCAAGAATTTTACGGTCTATGATCATTTAAGAATACCATTGGACTGAATTGGGTTTGGATCATTTCGGGAAATCAGCACTTCATAAAGTTGGGCGACAACACCACATATAAAGCCCAACTTTTATTATATCACGCACACTCAATGAAGTGGGCCCCACTAAATGGATCCATTTTATAAAATCTGGGTTTCGTGAGGTTTGGGCTTGAACTCAATTAAGTGGGCCCCACTAAATGGATCGTTTTATAAAATCTGGGAAGTTTTTTTTTTTAACAGGCTTACACTGGGTTAACAGAGAGTTATAGCCAACATTTATTTTTTTTTTAGAGATTAACATTTTATTTACTTTCTGATATTTATTTATGATTGTTGAGTCAATTTCGAATTATATTGGGAAAAATTACATTTCAAAGGAAAAAAAACTATTTTAAAAGTTGATGTATAATTTTAAGTATATTTCTCATAAATTTCCCAAAAAAATATCTCAAAAATAGAGTTGGAAATGTTAAATAAAGTCAACCAATTTAAACCAAAAATTAATGTCAATGATGGTTAAAGGCAATGTCTTGAAAAAAAAACAATAAAATCCTAGTGATGATTTTTGCTGGAAAGCAAATGGATGATAATGATTTTTGGAGGAAGAAGGTTTACAAAATAAATGGAAAGAAAGTAGGTTAATAGAGAAATTTGTTGAATTAATTATCATTATTTTATTACGGAAGTATATTTTATTAATTAATTAATATTCAAATGTTAAAATTTTAAGCATTAATAAATATATTTGCATGAAAATCAAATTATTAGTAAATCCAACTCTTTAAGTCTAGTAGGAGCCCAACTCCTATCTTATTAAGACTCAGTCCAGTGGGCCCGAATTATTGTATCCCATCATTTTGGAAGTTTTGGGTTTCGTAAAGTTGTGCTTAGCAAGCCCCTAGAAGCCCAACTCTAATTATGTCTTACCGACTCGATCAGGGTGGTCCCCGTTACGGTCTTGGATCATTTTAGAAAATATGGGCCTCCTGAAGTTGGACTAGCACATAATGTAAGCCCAAGTTACGGTCTTGGATCATTCACTGAAGTTGGGCTAAGCTTACCACATTTGAGCCCAACTCCATATTATATCATATGGACTCAATGGAGTGGGGGGTCATTTTTGAAAATCTGGACTTCATGAGATTGGGCTAATCACGCGAATTATGTGGCTTGACTCTTAGTATAGCATGTGGACTCAATTGAGAGGGCCCAAGTTACCATCTTGGTTCGTTTTATGAAATTTGGGCTTCATGATGTTGGTCTTATAGTTGGGCTTTTAGGTGGCCTGCTAAACTCAAATAACCAAGCCCAACTTTGATATCATTTTAGCTCAATGAATTGGGTCTCCCGTATGACCGTTTTAAGGAAAACTGGGGTGTTATAGTTGGGCTTAGAAAGCCACATAGAAGCCCTAGTCATTATCGCACATGGACAGTGGGCCACCGTTGTGGTTTTGGATCATCTTACAAAATCTGGGCTTTATGAAATTGGGCCGAGCAGGCACACAGAAGCCCAACTTTCACACATCTCGCCGCCTGATTTGTTGGTAGGTTTTCCACCACCGACTTTTTTTAATATTATTATTATTATTTTGGGAGCAAACTATCGACTTCTAAATTATAAACAAATAGCACATAATTAGATAAATATCAGGTTTTTAAATATTTTGTAGACGTATCACTTATCAATATTCAAATTTTGAAGGAAAAGAAATACTTAATAGAATATTATTTAGATTATTAAGAGCCGTATGATAACTATTTTATTTTTTCCATTTCTATTTTTTATAAATTAAACTTTGTTTTGCTATCTATTTTTTAAAATGGTTTTCAAAATGAAGCTAAAATTTAAAAACTAGAAAATGTTCAAAAAATTGTTTTTGCTACTAAATTTTCGTTAAGAATTCAAACTGTGTCTTAAACAAAGGTAAAAATATACCAAAGAATTTGCAAACAAATAAGCAAAAAATTTTAAAACAGAAAACGAAAAACAAAATAATTATCAAAATGGACCTTAATAAATTATTAAATTGTGACAAACAAAATATGATTCGTAACTATCGAATCATCATCCTTTGATATAGTAATAAGTGTCATACCCACGTGAACTTTAGATTGGCTTATGCTTAACTATCTAAAAACCGACTGTTTCCATTGTTAAAATAGGTATGGGGTGGATAGAGGAAGGCAGTGTCCTAAAACTGGTGCTTATTCTTCCCACTGAAACTGCATGACTTCTGCTCTCTCTCTCTCCATGACAGCAGCAGAAGCACACGTATTTGAGCATAATAAAGAACATAAGCAACAGTTTTGATGGATTCTTCTTCTAAGATAAAATAGAATCATGTTTGTAATGACAATTTGAAATACAAGTAGACCAGTGGATGTTGAGTAAGTCATCCTAAATTGAACAATATATTTATACTAATACTAGCATAATTAACTAAGGTGATATACTTTAAGGATCCAACACACACCTATGAGATAAACATATTAACTACAAATTCGTACATACAGAAAGGAATATTGCTACTATGCTTTCATTAGTCACTTAACTCACCAGACATCACGCTTTTCCGGCCCCCCGTCTTCCTTTTAGTTACTACTGCCTGCCCTTCTTCATGCTGCAAGATGGGCACTTGTATTGTTTGATATTATCAGCCTTAGCAGGCGTTATCTTTACGCACTTTCCGTGGTACCACCTTTCGCAGATGTCACAGCCAATCCAGAACTCGTCTGCACTGTAATTTTCACCACAGCTACCACAGAGGGTTTCGCTATGTTCGTCAACATCCTCCTCGCAACTCTGATCAGCAAGTTTTGGGTTGCTTTTCACCTGTCCATCATTGGATCTCTAGAATAGAGAGGTATCATGTTAATGGACAGTCAGAAGGTTTCACAAGAAACAGATTTATTACTGTTCCATCCATGTTCTTCAAAAAGACAAGACAGTAACATGTGAAGAAGTTAGGCCTCTTGACAGGTGCGGAGAGAAGGAAGGGGGCAGTTCCCCTCTCGATTTGTCAGTCTGAGATTAAGAAAATTGTATAAAAATTTTAAGATTTTAAAGTTCTGTCTCATTTGTCCCTTCATAATGGAAAGATTATACATGTAAAAAGTTGAAATACAAAATTTTACCCGTTCCCTAAGAAAAATTTTGGCTCCACCTATGCTGTTATATGTGATTAGACAGAAGTTATTTTCTCCAAAATTTAGTAAGATCAAAGCTTTTTGAAAATAAACAATTTCCCTAAAGGATAATAAACTTGTACCCATCCTGAGAAATGAGAATTTTCGTTGCATTGAATCCCGGGAGCGAATTGTACACAGAAAGTTCATTATGAAAAGAAAAAGAAAAAATCAACTTAACCTTTGCACTTCCTTGTGATCTGCTTCCACTATCTACACTAGGCCTCTCTTTGGCAGGCTTCCGTTCTGTCACAACTTCAAAGACAGTGGGAAGATCATTCATCAAGCTAAATAAACGCTTTCTGTAATTATATGATTAGTAAGACGGAAAAAGTTAGTTCACGGTTTCATAGAAAATAAAATCTGTATATAATCACGTAAAACAAACAGTTAAGTAGCTCTTCAACCTCCTCAAAGCATAATTATTCACAGCTATTGAAGGTAATATATCACAATAAGTTTTAGAAACCAAAGAAATTAGTGTGATTGCAAGAGATTCCTTTAGTTAAGAATATGTTATGGAGAGTATTTGCGAATAATGCCAGAAGAAACATTACAGTAAATTTTCATTAGCTATGAATTATAGAAGTTAACAAACATCATTGACAGATGTAGGATTCAGAAAAAGTTACATTGAGCAAACCCTGACTTAGAACCTGCAAGAAAAAGATCAAAAAAGAGTAGTTAGTTTACCTTTCATTTCGGTTAAGCCTTGCTCCAAGATAGAAAGCCACAGAGAGCAACCAGGAATCACTGTGTACAGCAACTAGTGAAAGCCAATCTTTTCGGTTCATGCCATCTCTTGCAAAATTAATTCCAAGTGCAGGCTCAGGAAGCTCTGGTGGAACCTCTTCCACTGGAAGAACCACTTCCCATGTTTCATTGGGATGTCCATATAGACACAAATTTTCCTTATCTGAAAAGGTATAAATCAAAGTGAAAACATATGAGAGGCATCAGAAATGATAGTAAATCACTAATCTCAGAGAAAAAATGAATACAAGGCAGTCAGCAACTCGGTATACCGAAACAAGAAAACCAATCAACACATTACACTATGCATCGGTTACCGGCTTAATTGGGATACAGAAAGTATATGGAAAAACATTTCCAGGATGTCAGATCAAGATCATAGAAAGTAGAATCCGAATTCAACTACAATCATCCAATTTGAAGCAATTGTTAATGTTATGTGACAAACGAAATTAGGAAAAAATTTTCTCAATTCATTAGGTATCAGAGGTTCGTTGATAAGTGACAACCAAGCAAATCTCATTTTCTCCATATTCTCTGTTCGTTAGGTTCACCAGAAACACGCAAATTTACATTTAGAGAAACAATACACTCCGTACAAAAATCAATTACAAACAGCTTCCCAGAATTAACAATTACGCAATACCTGGATCACACAGGCCATAGAATTCATCGACATCTGCAACAACAAAAAAGAAAACGAAAATCAGTGATCTCTGAGGAGAAAAGTAACATAAAGAAGAGAAAATTGAGAGGAAAAAGGACCGTGAGCGAGAGCTCGAACAAGACCGGCGCGGCGGCCGCTGTAATCTTTGAAAATTTCCTCGACGGTTTTGGGAGTGGAGGCCATTTCCATGGCGGATTGGAGATCTGAGAGCAGAGATTGGAATGGGAAGTCACATGAAGAAATGGAAATTGGGAGAAGGATTAGAAATGAATGGAGGAAGGACTAATGCATGAGTTTGGGAAGGAAGAGAGCGTAAGAGACAGAGATCCATGTAAACGTCAGCACCGAGACACAGAAGAACCGGAGGTTGGAATGTAAATTGACGCTACAGAATATTACTATTGCCACTCCACCCAAATTTTCACTTCCCGAACACTCCTTCTTCTTCTTTTTTTATTTTTATTTTTTATTTTAAATATTCATTCCAATTTTCACGTTCCGAAACTACCCATCCAAAAACAAAAACCGGCTTCATTTTTAAAAATTATCAAAACAAAACAAAACGAGAGAAGGATTTTTAGAACGTGGGTCTAGAACCAGTGGCCCAGAACGGGTACATGCAGCCCACAATAGGATTAAAACAAAAAATAATTATAATAAAAACAATATTTCACTTTGTCCCTTAATCATATTTTGTTTTTATTTGTGATTTTTCAGGTTTAAGATGTCGAAATTTCGAGGTCTATGCAAACGTGAAGAAAATATTTATAAAAGATTGATATTAATAGATATTTTTCTAAAAGGAATCACAAATTTTTAAAAAATATTTAAATTAACGAATAAGTATTTTATCACTTTTAAATAAGTTAAATTTCTTATTTATTAGTAACACATCCACTAATATTTTGTTGATATATATTTTTATATTTTTCATTTTTTTAATAAAATAAAAATGTTGATTCACCTCTTATGTCAATGTCAAATTTATCTTTAATTTTTCAATTTATTCTATATTCTGGATCTGGTATAGCACCTTTAAATTGACCAACTAGAAGAGCTATAAAATGGACAAGGCTGGAGTCGATCAGGAAAAAATTTAGAAGGGGCAAAATTTTACATTTTCACTTTTTATATAAATAATTTTAATAATTTTAAAAATTTAAGAAAAATTA